GCCTGCCGCCGCGCCGCTGTTGTTTATCAGTGACTACGGACCTGCATGGAATATCGATGCTCGCCCGCGCGGGGGGGGGGGGGGAATAAAAAGAAAAAAATACTCCTCCTCCTCCTCCCCTTAGCCCCTCCCCTCCCCTTGCTGGCAATCGCGCGCAAATCATGTCGATCGCAGCACCACCCCGTCCTGACGTGCCCCACCCCGCCACAGCGTTGTTGCTATCTACTTGGGGCCCCAACCCCTCCCCCCACCCTGCCTCGGGAAACGACCGTTGTCCGAAATGATTTCAAACGAATATCCATCCGCGTGCGTTTCCGATTTCCTGGTGAGCTGCCCTGAAGGCGACGTACGTCTGGAGCAGCGTCATTCTCGTTTCGATCGGCTCGGCTAGGCTCCGGGCGCGCGCTTACGCCCCCGGTCGGATACCTCCGAGAGGGGGGTGATCCTTTTCTGGAATGGATCCCCCAGCCAGGTGGTGAGAAGAGATGAAAGGAGGAAAAGGAGGGGAAGGAGGAGGGAGGGGAGAAGGAGGAGGAGGAGCAGGAGCAGGAGGAGGAGGAGGAGGAGGAGCAGGAGGGGAAGGAGGAGGATGAGGAAGAGAAGTGGTGTCCGCGATTCGGTTGTTTCGCAGTCGGCTTCGCCCGGTGAGTTCAATCAGGTTGGCTGTTGCACCGTTGCGTCATTTTTTGGGGTAGTCGAGACGCTTCGTATAACCCCGCCAGCCCATCCAGAAACGATGCCCAGGCGAGTTGCCTTGATCAGGGATTTGGAGGAGCACGCAGCGGAAGAAAGAACTGTGGATGCCGTCATTCCCTAAGAGGGCGAGAAAGGAGGAGGAATCGGACGAGGACGGGGAGGGAAAGCCTCTTGGGGTCTCTTGGGGGTCTTTGGGGGGCCTCTTGAGAGCCTCTTTGGGGCATCTTGTGGGCCTCGTGGGGCCTCCCGGGCGCCTTTTGAGGCCCTCTCGGGGCACTCTTGGGAGCCTTGGGGACCATCTTGGTACCATTTTGGGGGAGTTCGATAAAAGAGTGGTGGGGGCTCTAATTAGCCTTCCCCCCCAGTGGGCCAACAAGTGCGCAAAACCGAAGTAACAGAATGCAGTTTGGGCTTTTTTAATCCGATGCGTTCTTGGACGCTTCACACGGTCGTGAACCCCTCTGTTCAGGCCCAGGGGAGGGGATGGGGGGAGGAGTCAAGTTACCCACAAACAACGAATCGTCTTGCTCATTCCCACCCGCCCCCAAAGCACATGAGTGGCACCGGAGTCTCAGCATGGACCGAGGCCGCCATCGACAACCATCGGGAACCAACGCAGACGCCAGCCAGGTGCGCGAAGCCCGCGAGGTGCGCCGCACATGCCAGATGCGCCACGCTCACCAGGCACGCCACCTTGGGCAATATGCAGACCCTCCCACCGCCCCCTGTCGAAAGCAAAAGCCAAGTGTCGGCGGGTTTGCTGCGTGCGGGTGTGCACCCACGATCTCGCTTTGCATGTAGCTGGTGGGCCTGCACACGGCAGGCCGTATGGCGCCCCTCCCCGCAGTCCCTGGCAGAATGAGCTAGTTGTTTCTTGTCCGTCTGGCACGGAGGTGGGCCTGCACACAGCAGGCAGTTTGCCGGCACCCCCGCCACACTTGTCGAAACACACATGCGGTTTGACCGCGAGGCGTCGGCGCATGGTCCAGCTTGTGGTGCAAAGAGCATGTGATATATTTTTGTGCAAGGGATGGCTGGGAGGTGTTGGCATTGCATTCAGCATGCAATGTACTGCGTCCCCCCGCCGTCCCTGTCAGACACCCATGCAGCGTGATTGCGGGGCGTCCGCGCACGATCCAGATTCTTGGTGCCAAGTGCATTGTTGTATAGTGTGCCCCAACGATCCTGTGATGATGAGTCTGCGCTTTGAAGAGACAGCGTCCCGCGTCTTCTCTCCTCCATCCTCCCCCTCCTCCCTCCTTCCATCCCTGCCTCTGCCATCTGAATGTTTGTGTTCCGACACACTCAGTGCAGCGTTTCATGGCCCCGTAGGAAGCTCCACCGAAGGCCCCAGCGGCAGGATCCACATGGCCCATGGCGGCGCCGCCCCTTTTTGGCGCGCCACTCACACGGTCCGTGGCCCCATAGGGAGCTCCACCGAAGGCCCCAGTGGCGGGCTTCGCGTGACGGTGATTTCGGCGCACCCCTCACGCGGTTCGTGGCCCCGTAGGGAACTCAGCTGAAAGCGGTGCCACAACGCTGTATTCACAACTGCATATGGTGGGGTCCTTCGCCAGGATAGTGTACAAGGGATGGCGGGGGGGGGGGCGGCGCAGCAAGCAATATGCCGGTACCCCCGCCGTCCCTATCAGAAACCAATGCAAAGTGGTCGCGGAGCGGCCGCGCACGCTCCAGGTCTGGAGACACCGTGCAACTTGTATTGTTTTTTGACAGGGATGGTCCGGGGTGGGGTTGTCATGGGTGCCCGCATGGGTCCCGGTTGGCAGCGGGTCGGGTGGTGGAGTTTTTTTTTTTTTTTTTTTTTTTTTGATTTTTTGGGAACAGTGACACACCCCTCCCCGAAAGGGAGAAGGGGTTGGAAGAGGAAGCGTTCGAAACCACTCACGCCCTAAAGGGCTGGTGGGACTTTCGGACCATTGGTTCCAGGTTCGCTATCGGTCGGTGGTTGTCCATTTGTGGTGCCGACGTCGCCGTCGAAGTGAGAAGAGAGTGGAGGAGTTGGAGGAGGAGGAGGAGGAGGAGGAGGAGGCGGAGAAGAGTGAAGGTCGCACGGGAGGGGACAGGTCCGGCCACAGCATGCCTCCGCGGGCGCTCCCCAAAGGGGCATCCCTCTGTACTTCCCCCACCACTCCTCCCCCCCCCTGCGCGGCGCGCCTTCGCCGCCACACCCTTTCACAGTTTCCCTCGCATTTCTCTGCCCCCCTTCCACTTTCTCGCCCGGCTGCTCTTCGAACCCTTTGCCCTTCTCCAGCTGCCCCCTCCCCCTGCCCCTCCCAGGAGGCCCCCTGGCTTGCGCGGGGTGGCCTTTCCCCCTGGAGCCCAGGGGATGGCGCACTCGTCCCTCCCCCATGGCCCCTCGGCCCTTTCTCCTTTCCATCCGCTCTTCCTCCTCCTCCTCCTCCTCCTCCTCCTCCTCCTCCTCCTCCCTTTTCCTAGCATGCCCGTCCCCCCCCCTGATGGGAAGGAGCGGGGATGCCGGGGGCGCTCCGCGAGGCGTTCGGGGGAGTTTCTGCCCAGAGGCCACGTCACGGGGGAGGGACAGCCCCAGGGGGCGGGACGCATCGACACCCAACCGCTCAGTCTCGGCGGCGAGCGAGGGGGGGGGGAGGTGAAAAAGGAGGAGGCCTTCTGAGAGGGTACCCCGGCCTTCTGCGGAGTTGTCTAAGCCTTCCCCGAAAACCAAGCTAGCTTCTCAGAAGGCGCGAGGGCTTCTGAGAAGTCCCGCCGCCTTCTGAGAATGCCTTCTCCTTCTCACTCCCCCCCCTCGCTCGCCGCGGACATTCGTCGCCGATGCGGGGACCGACCGCCCACATCGCCCAGGAACGCGCGGGTTTGCTACTGGGGGCCTATCGCCGATCTATCGACGATGCATCGCCGAATCCAGGTCGACGTTTCCACTCCCTGAGCCGGTCACCCCCGAGCGTTTGAGGAGGAGGAGGAGGAGGAGGAGGAGGAGGAGGAGGAGGAGGAGGAGGAGGAGGGAGGAGGCGGAGGAGGCGAGGCGGAGGAGGCGGAGGAGGAGGAGGAGGAGGCGGAGGCGGAGGCGGAGGAGGCGGAGGAGGAGGAGGAGGAGGAGGAGGAGGAGGAGGCGTGGGCGAGAGCCGGGCACGCACGGCGCGCTCCAGAAGCAGGGGCTCGCCGCCTGCCTTCCCTCCTGGGTGCACCCGGGCCCGAGGCGGGCGGGCGTCGGGCGCCCTCTCCGCCCCTCGCGGCCGGGAGCGCGGGGGCGCGGCGGGGGCGCTCCGAGGGCGTGGGGGCTGGCCGGGGAGGCAGCGAGCCCTGCCCCCAGCGAGGCCTCCCCTCGGATCGGCCGCCCCAGAGCCTCGGAGGGAGGAGAAGCGACACCAACACGACCAGGGGGCCCAGCTCCAGCGAGGAGGTCCGCGATGCCTCCCCGAGCTGGAGGCCGGGGATGTCTCGAGCGAGGGGGGGGGGACCACATCACCAGGGAGAACCCCTTTGCCTCCTTGCATCTCCTCGCCCTGGTGGTGTTGGTGTCCCCTTTCCTTGTTGTTTTCGGCCTCCGCCTTGCTGGGCCTCGGGGCCCTCAACAAGTTTTCGATCGGGACGAAGAACCGGTCCCGGGGAATGGGTCGAGACGTCAGGGCGAAAACCCGGTCACTGGCGAGCCTTTCCCCAGCGAGCCGTTTTTTACATCGTCGACACGTGAGGCGTTTCAACAAGGGGCTTGCCTTCGAGGATCGAAGGAGTTGGCATCTCTGGGAGGCCGCCGAAGGCTGGCGGAAGGCGTCGGAAGTAAAACGAGGGCGGAAGTAAAAAGTGCGCCCCCAAGAGATGACAGCATGCGAGCCGCTTCCTTCGAAGAAGTAAACGGCATAAACATAAATATTCGGCGGTCCGCGCGGAGTTCTTGAGTCGGCGCTTGGGACCCCCTGGCGGCGCCTCCGGCACCGCCACTGGTGCACTCCGTGCGCCAGGGAGCGGGGTCCAACGCGGATCCAAGAATTCCGCGCCGATTTCCAGCAGTTTATGCTCTTGCAGCTTTTTGTTCCTCTACCTTACCCAGCGGGTCCTTTCATTAGATCGGCTACACGTACTGAAGAGTGACCTTTCGCCAGAGTGACCTTTGGTGCGGGCCAATGGGGCCCCCCGATTGAGATAGTTGCGAGCCGCTTCCCAGGATCCAGAGAGGCCAGTCCTTCGGATCGGAGGCCTGGTTGGGGGCCGGGCCTCGCCGATGCAAGATCCGCTGGTTCCGACCGATGGCGGCGGCGGCGGGCGGTGGTGACCGGGGTGGGGATCCTGGAAGAGCACGGTGCGAGGCGGTCAGCTGCGGGCTGGAGGCAAGCCTGACGCCCTGCACGCCCCGTCCGAGGACCAAGGGGGGGAGGGAATGCTGGGGTGGACGGACGTGCAGGAGCAGAACAGGACGAACAAATACGGTCGGTTCGGATAGGGAAGGTGGCCAGAGTTTGGGTGCTTTGAGATGTCCAGCCCTGTCGTGTCTTCTTTCTCTCGGCTTCCGGGGGCCGCTTTCGGGACTCGTGACAATCAAGGCATGATCCCGGACGAACCTGCACCTGGGAGAGGTGTCCGAACTTCTGTGGCCCGCGGATTGAAAGCTAAATCAATCGTCGGATGCATGAAACGTTTTGAATATGGAAGCGGGCCCCCCCTCGAAGCGGCCGTGCGCCGTGCAGAGGCCTCGTGCATCCACACTTGGACTTCGGCCTTTTCGGCTCGCACGACGGCCGAAGGCTTGCTACCGCCGGACCGAGGTATAAGATCGTGGGCGGCTCGGGTAGGGTACCTTAGTGTTCTTCGTGCTTGTTGGATGCTCTTGTGCATCCTGGGAATGGTATCCTTGGATGGTCTGTGATGTTTGGCCTACGGAGGGTCTCATGTTCTTGAGGGATGTTCTTCTGGCCTAGGTCCGACTGTAGCAAGACATGGAAGCCCTGTGTACCTTCGCAATTCCATGTTTAGAGTGCGTTAGGGTCGATTAGCGTGTGGTAATGTGTGTGCGCCGATGTAGCGTCGATTAGCGTCGACTAGCGTCGATTTAGCGCTGATCAGCGTTGATGAACGCCGATTAGCGTCGATCCGTAAGAGCCATCAATCTGGTATGGGAGGCTCACATGTCCCATGCGTTCGTTGCCGCAGAAGGCAGGTTTGAGGGATCTTGGACGGTCGTTCCCTCCTTCTGAAGTCTCGCGCGGGGGGCCCCGAGGTCACGGCTACATTCCCGTGGCAATTTTGGTCGGGACGCCCCCCAGTGGAAGCTGAGGTTGGCGACTTCCAGGGGTCATCCCCTCCAGGCCTCCAGCGCTGGGCGCAACTCGCGACGGCTGCTTTCTGCAACGCCTTCTGCCTGCGGAGGCCCCGTGCGGGCCCCCTTGCGAGGCGACCTGCGATGGAAGCGTGCGGCTAGGAAGGAGGCGTCGGGAGTTCTGCGGCCCACGCCGCGAAGGAAGACGGTGACGTCAGGCACCTGCCCCCCCCCCTCCCGAAGCAGCCCCCAGGAGAAGGACGGCAGTGGCGGGGAGACGAGGGTGAGGATTGGGGGCGATGTCGAGGAGGAGGTGATGGAGGACGGGAGGAGGAGGAGGAGGAGGAGGAGGAGGAGGAGGAGGAGGAGGAGGAGGAGAGAGTTCAGCACCCGCTGAGGAAGCGATCACGTTCCAACATGCATCAAGAGAAGGGCGGCGCATCAGCCTCGAAGGGGTCGCCGCCAGGGACCAATGCCGCCCCTCTGACTGGGGCTTAATCTCAGACGCAGATGAGGAACGTAGGCAGGTCGGGCCGCGAGACGCGGGTTTGCCCCGAAGGCCGAACCGCCGCGCGCGGGCGCGGGGTCTCCAACCAGAGCACCCAAGGGAATGTCGCGCCCTCCGAGGGGGAACGATGGCGAAGTACATGTAATTCTGGAAATCGACGCCGAAAAGCCTCCACGACGCCAGGTAGATGACACCAGCGACGAAAAACAACATTGAGCCAA